TCCAATGAAATCTGGAAGCCTATTAGGGAATACTTTGAAAACGTATATTTCAAAATGCTAGAAAACCACTAAGAAATGGACAAATCTCTGAATGTACACAACCTACCAAAATGAAAACAAGAAGATACAAAAAAATTTAAACAGACCTGTAACAAGCATCCCGAAACAGTAATTGTTTTTCCCAAAGAAAATCCCAAGAGCAGGTGGGTTCATTGCTGATTCAGGGAAATAACACTACAAAACTTACCCTACAAAGCCATATTGCTCTGTGTGTATTACCTACTTTTCTATTGCTGTGACAACACACCATGACCAAAGGAACTTATAAAAGAAAGCGTTTAATTGGGCTCACAGTTCTAGAAGGTTAGAGTCCATGATGGCTAAGCAAAGACGTGGCATCAGGAAAGGCTGAGATCTCACATCTGGAACAGCAAGCAGGAGGCAGAGGGCACACGGCATGGCAGGAGGCTTTCCAAACCTCAAGCCCACACCTAGTGATAAACCTCCCACAAGGCCACCTTCTAATCCTTCCCAAACAGTCATCAAATAGGGACCAAGTATTCAAATATGTGTGCTTATTGGGGCATTCTTACTTAAACCACCAGAACCCAGTACCAAAACTGGGTAAAGACACAACCACACAAATGTAAAAATTCTCAACAAAACACTTCCAAACGGAATTAAAGAACATTACTAGCATACAGCATGACCAACTTGGTTTCATGTCAGAAATGAAGGTTAGTTCAATATACTCAAACCAATGAGTGTAAAAGAACATATCTCTTCAGTATGAAGAGCTCATTACCATGTCCTTTATAGAGACGACTTTTGTTGCATCCTTCCCCCATGGGAGTCTGCTGACCAACTTGTGACTAGGAGCTTCTAGCAAAACACCTCTTGTCCCCTCCTCCCAGTAAGGCCTGAAAGCAAGTTCCTGCTTTCTGTCCATCTTTATTGTCTAAATGCTAATTCCTGTTATTGGCCGATCCTTTGTCGGAGGGCCCTGGGAATGTAGGCTTCTGGTCTTGGTGGTTTTCCACTGTGCCTGACCGGTATTTAACACTCGGCTCTTGTTAAAATAAATGCTATTCTCCTTGCAAGAACGAGCCGCTGTCTTTGTCTTCATTTACATCCTTAGCCCTTTGCCCGGATTGTTGAGAAGTGTTGTAGCCTGCATCATAACTGAACAGTTCGCTACAGGCTTTGGGAGTTTCTTTTCTGGTTCTGTCTATTTGGTGTTCTGTATGCCTCTAGATTTGGGGAAAATTCTGCTATGATTGTGTTGAAAATCTTTTCCATGCCTTTGATTCTTCCCAATTTCTATGGCCACACTTCCTAGGTTCTGTGTTTTCATAGCATCTCAAAATCTTGTGTGTCTCACTTGTATGATTAAAACATTGCTCTTGACTGAATGTACCAATTCCTTTGCCTTGTCATCAAGCCCGATAGTCTGGCCTTACGGTGGGTGATCCATCCCACTACAGAGTCTATTACTGAGCTTTACATATGACTTACTGAAGTCTTCATTTCCAGCATCATCTCAGTTTGTTTTTATTTAGTATTTCTATCTCTTTATTGTTACACATTCACATCCTGAGTTGACTTTCATGTTCCATTCACGTGTTTGTCTGTGTCTTGGAATTCATCCGGGAGTTTGTGTTCTCTTTGACGTACTTGAACATATTTACTATCATTCTTTTGAATTGTTTGTCTTCTGTTTCTTCAAAGTCACTTTCATTGGGGACAATTACTGTGGGATTGGGAATTTTTGGAGGAGCAATGTTGTCCTGGACTTTTACATTTCTTGTTTTTTTCCACTAGAAAAACACTTGGAGTTTGGTTGTTGAATAATTAAAACAAAGACTTGAACATTTCTTTCAGTGGAATGTTTGCATGTTTTAAAAAGTATTATTTATGTTATGTGCTGGGTGTTTTACCTGTATGGATGTCTGTTCACCACATGCAAGCATGGTGTCCACAGAAGCCAGAAGAGGGCATTGGATCCCCTTAGGCCTGGAGTTACAGAAGGTTATGAGCTGCCATATGGTGCTGGGGAATAGAACCTGGGTGGTCTGGAGAAGCAGTCAGTTATCTTAACCACTGAGTCATCTCTCCAGTCTCTTGTGTTTACAGTTTTTACGACAGACAGGATTGTAGTAGGCTGAGGTGTGATTTTTCCCATGTTAGACTGCTATTCAGTGTCCCAGACCTGATCCCCAGCACCCCTTGGAGAGTAAAATACTGTCTATAGCAACAGACACTACCTGTGAGTACATTTACTCTGAAAATAGAATAATAGTTGACTAAAACAACAAACCACTCCTTGCATGCCAGTCACTTTAGAGAGCAAAGGGACCCTAGTAGTTACTGTGTGTCTGAGTGGAAAGGAAAACAGCGTAATAAACATAGTAATCAGTATTGGGGTGCCAGAAGGCAGATGCGTGGAATATGAACAGTAGGGGGAACTAGAGGGATAGAAATGGGGGATGAGGAACCGGGGAATGAGAGAAGTAGAGATGTGTGATCCAATAACGTACAACAGCTTTGCCTTCATGTTATAGGATATTTGATCACACTGTGAACCCTGCGATTGCATTGTTTGCTGGAAAAACCAGTTTCTAGTTGTGGTGTGGCTCAGCCTAACACATACCTTTAATCCAAAAGCTTTCTGCTTGAATAATGTAAACAGGATCAAATGAAGTCAACCATAGGTCAACAATGGAGGTGGAGCAAGCAACCAATTGTTAGGAAGGTAACATAAGAAAAAACCATAGAGAGAAAGAGGGGGTCAGGAGGATGGATAGAGAGACGCACAGGAAGAAGAGGGGAGGGGCATTGAGTTTGAGGAGACTTGTTTGAGATGGTAGGAGAGAGCTTTCTGGGACTGCAGCTGAGGAGGAAGGTCAGCTGGGTGCTTTCTCTGCCTCTCTGAGCTAGCAGGTTTTCACCCCAGCATCTGGCTCCCAAGTCTTTATTGGTAAAGTTGAATGATTGGGATTTTGTTAAAAACGTCACCTTCCAGAAGGATGGGACATGGAAACCCTACAAATCAGGCCAGCCTGTGGTTTTCAGGAGAGAGGTAAAAGGAAAACAAGAGTAACAAGAAATAGAAGTGGTATAGGACAAGAACAGCAGGACTGAGCAGTGTAGCAGCCTGCTAAACTAATACTGGGTGTTAAATAAGGGAAGGATATATATGGCCAGAAAGAGCTGCTGTGAACAAAGAACATGAGAACTTTCTGGCAAGCCTCATGCCCCTTCCCTAGCTCTCAGAAGCCTGTCTCGTTCCTGGGAGTCCCCTGCAGCAGGTGGCTCTGTTCTCCCCTCAGGGTCTCCCTTTGATGGATGGGGTACACTGCACATGCTTCGCAGGTGGAGTCTCGAGGCTGGCCATCCCTCTGTACATTCCTTTGAAGTCTGCATGTTCGCTCTACCTCTGTGAGAGTCTTTCTGATCTGTGAGCAGCTTGGAGTCTGTGAGAGAGTTCCTCTGCTTTGGCTCCCAGACTTTGGTGCCTACATGGTCTTCTGCTAGATGATGGCTGGGCAGTCCAGTTCCATGATTTCACATTCCTGGATGTCCTTCCCACCCTGCTTGAAGCTGGGCTTCCTGTACCAGACCATCCTACCACATAGATGCCCTCTTTCCTGTGTGAGCCGAAAGAAAGACGGCGTCACCTGTGTCTCCGGAGATTCTCCAGGGCAATGGCTGACCTCACGTGACTATGGGGATTTGGAGTGCTGCAGCATCCCAGAGCCACATCATCTTGGAATACTTTTTAGATCCCTTACTCATGGTTCATCGCCCACCTCTGTGTTTTACCTACCATTCTTGTGACTGCTACATAAACCTCTGGGGGAAGTATTAACCACTGGCTTCCACCAAATTAGAGGCTGAGAATGTCATCCAGTAGCATGTGAGGCCCATAACCCCACTTTGCCATAACTATCTACTAATGTATTATAATTAATGTTTAAGATTTACTAATTTTCTGGGTCTGTAGCGATGACTCCGCAGAGGACCTAGGTTCAATTTGTAGCTCTCACCAGCAGCTCACAATTGTCTGTAATCCATCCAGTTTTAGGTGACCCAATGCCCCTCCTACTCAGTATGCCCTGCACATGGCACACAGACATACATGCAGGCAAAATACCCAGACACATGCAATAAAATACTTAAAAATTTTATGCATTTTATATTTGCGAATGTATTGTCTGCAGACATGTGCATCACATACTTGCCTGACACCTCAGGAGGTCAAAAGAGGGTGACAGATCCCCATTGTCTGATCCCCTGGTGTCAAGTTAAGGATGGTTGTGAACCGCCATGTGTGTGTGTGTGTGTGTGTGTGTGTGTGTGTGTGTGTGTGTGTGTGAGCTAGGAACCAACCCAGTTCTCTGCGACAAGTGCTCTCAACTACTGAGCCATCTCTCTAGACCACCAAGGCATTTAAAGGCACTCCAGTTTATGTCTCTCCTTTGTTATATAAACTGTAAAAACTTTATGAAATTGTCAGCACATTACAGTGTGGTGCTGGGAATACGACTCCATGTTCCCAGGTCATTGTCACTTACATTTGACTCCATTTCTCTTCAGGTGAGAGCTGTGATTTTTGGGTGGACAGCTTTTGGTACTTGAACATGGGATCTCAAGATGGTTCATTTTCACTGGAGAAAGTTGCTACATTGGCACCAGGTACCTGCATGGGCCCCTGGTATCCAGTCATCCATCACTGCCTTCTCTGGTGGATGTTGGTGAGTTCCTTCTGGGGCTTGGACCTCCCTTGGTTTGGTGGATGGTTCATCGGTTAATTCTGAGCTAGTTGTTTGGATAGTTTTTTAAATATTTCACAGCACTCAGTTTAAGATATTTAATGTTGCTGGGAGATGGTGGTACATGCCTTTAATCCCAGCACTTGGGAGGCAGAGACAAGTGGATCTCTCTGAGTTTGAGGCCAGCCTGGTCTATAAAGCAAGTTCCAGGATATCCAGGGCTACACAGAGAAACACTGTCTCAAAAACTCAAATATATCTATATAAGCATAGATGTATGTGTCTATATTTATATCTAGTGTTTGTTTTCTGAGTTCCAGGTATTTTAGGAATGCTTGTTGATCTGCTAGCATTTGGCTTTTTTCTTCTGCTACACCTCCAGTATCGACTTCTGAGATTTTCCGTGGTTTCTCTTGCTTATTTCAACTTTGCTACATTCCTAATGGGGGACCTGTGCCCTCCAGTCCCACAGTGTGGAAATGTGTGTGTTGGTACCTGCGCTTCACAGCCAAGCTCGATGAAGCATATCCTCCTGTTCTTAAGTTGAAAAGAACTGTGTTTACCAGCAGGGAAGACACACGTAAGGGTTAATCACCCAGTGCCTTGAGCCCCTCCTTCCTGTGAAGATGCAGAACAAACTTGTGCATGTGGGGTGCACGCCTGCTGTGGGGTAAACTCTCAAGAGCAGCAGGCAGCGGGAACGAAGACAGTAGATGACACGCAGGCGCAGTCTGCCAGAGTCTCCGTGGAATAATCTGGAGAAAGCAGAGGAACAGCTGGAAGAAGTGGCTGACACCAGAACCCTACCTTAGCCAGAAAAGCAAAGCAGGGAACTTGACACAGCAGAAAAGGAAGTCCAGAACCCATCCCAGGGCACTGGCTTGTTTCGGGAGCTCCTCACTCACACAAAGAAGGAACACGGATTGCGGACGTTGGGAGCCAGAAGGACTTAGAAAATCTGCCCGATTTCACAGTCGTGCTCGTTCTACACTGCTGGAAAGGAGCCTCTTGGAACGCGACGCTCAGAACCCCACTGTCCCGCTAAAGAGGACGCCGTGGCTACAGTGATAGCAGTGTTAGCTTGCGTGGGCTGCTTCTTCAGAATCGTGTTTGCTTGTAAAGCGCATGGATTCTGCTGCAGTGCTGAGAGCTCGGGTCTCAGCGTAGACTTCTCTACTGCCTGGTTCCTTTTTTCCGTTCCTTCCTGTTTCTTCCCCTTCCCGTTTCACCCCAGGTTTCACAGTATTTGCATATCCACCCCCGAGTAGGTTTAAGGCTTGTGATTCTTTCTTCTGATTGTAGGGATCGGATCTCTCTGTGGACCAGAGAGCTCCACCCCGTGGTTTTAAATTCTCTTGCTGTAGTCTCAGAGGTACTTGCCCATTTAGTGCCTCTGCACCTTCTAGTTGATGGTGGGATACTTAAGCACCATGCTTAGTTCTTGTTTATAAGAAAAACAATTAAGAATGACTCGGGTTTTCTGAAGAAAGCAGGTCTCTTCTCAATATGGCCTCACCAAACATTTACACTGACGTGAACTTCAAAACTCAACCTGTTTCTGCAGGCAGTATCTCAGACTCAGGTAAACCGCCCCCACCTCCAGAACAATGCAACCTCATTTTCTGGTGGCCTAAGCTACAGGCGAGGTGAAGAAGGAGTGTTTGTGAGCAAGCTACAGGCGAGGTGAAGAAGGAGTGTTTGTGAGCAAGCTACAGGCGAGGTGAAGAAGGAGTGTTTGTGAGCAAGCTACAGGCGAGGTGAAGAAGGAGTGTTTGTGAGCAAGCTACAGGCGAGGTGAAGAAGGAGTGTTTGTGAGCAAGCTACAGGCGAGGTGAAGAAGGAGTGTTTGTGAGCAAGCTACAGGCGAGGTGAAGAAGGAGTGTTTGTGAGCAAGCTACAGGCGAGGTGAAGAAGGAGTGTTTGTGAGCAAGCTACAGGCGAGGTGAAGAAGGAGTGTTTGTGAGCAAGCTACAGGCGAGGTGAAGAAGGAGTGTTTGTGAGCAAGCTACAGGCGAGGTGAAGAAGGAGTGTTTGTGAGCAAGCTACAGGCGAGGTGAAGAAGGAGTGTTTGTGAGCAAGCTACAGGCGAGGTGAAGAAGGAGTGTTTGTGAGCAAGCGTGGGGGAATCTTGGCTGCTGGCTGTCTGAGCACTGTGTGTGGGAGGCAGGAGTCTCCCTGCTTGAATTGTCTGTGGAGAGCTTGAAGGGTTGGTGCCTCACACCGTGGGAAAGGAGAGAGCTCGAGATACTGTCTTTATTCGCACCATCTAGAGAAAGTCTGAATTCTACTTCATGTTTTTGATGTATTTAGAGAAAACATGAATTTTTGAGATATGTAAGACTATGCTCTCCCCATGAAAATAAATTCAGGTGCTATAATATTCAAGTTCTTAGTTTTCTGTTTACTTGACAGCATATATAACTTTAAGAAATTAGTTTGTATTTTGGGGGCAGTTTTATTTTGAAGGACAGTTTGAGAATCCCTTTCTCTACTCATATTGCAATGGATGCAGGAGGTCACACATGCTGGATGCAAGCTCTGTTGCTGGAGTTACAGGGGTCTATACTATTTCTGAGAATTTTAGTTTTTAAAACTATTTCTTTAGCTGGCATGCAAACCAAATGCTCGATTCATTATGGCATTTTATACAAAAGCATCATATCCCTTGTGCATATCCCTAGTCCTCTCCTCCCCTCCCCTCCTCTCCCCTCCCCTCCCTCCTGGTTCTTGCTCATCCCTTTCCCTTCCTGTTTCTCCTTCTGGCTTTCATGTCACAAGTTTCCCTATGTGTTTATATATAGTGACCCCTAGATCCAGCAAATGTGAAAGCAGCTGTGATATTCTGTCACCCCCCCACTACTCTCTTGTTAATTCTCCCTCCCTTTTATCACTCGTCCCCTCTTGGTCCCCTTCAACCCAGAAAATGGTTTCTAACAAAGAGACAGTAGCTAAAAAGATAACCTTAGACCACGTCCTAAACATGTGAAATATGCTTATAAGGGTTTATCTGTTTTTGCATGTTTTAAAGTAATATTGGAAACAGTTTGGAAGATTATTTAAATATACAGTAAGTGCCAAGTAGCCAAAATAAAGAATATTAAAGAAGAAAATATGGTGAGAGAAACATGTTCATTATGCACACACACACACACACATTCCATGGAAGGATATATACCTACACTCATATGTGTCTCTCAAATATCAATATTAACGAGTTATTGTCACTGATTGAAACTTGTGACTTCATTTTATCCAATGAACATTATTGTTTCTCTCCTATTCAGTTTTTATGTTGTTTCACTGTTTCATGGTAGAAAAGAAGAAGATGACAAAGAGGAAATAACAGAATTCACTACTGATTTAATTAGTTTGGTTTTTCCTTTAGGTCCGCCAAGGAAGACCACCATTCACAAAAGCATTCCTGGCTTTCCCACGCTGCTTCTTACCTCAATGATATTTTTCCTGCTGCTGGCAATCTCATCCTCTGTTGCTTTGAACAGTAAGTATGTCAATGGAGTAAGTGAGCGATGCCTGGCTTGCAGGAAGAGAGACATTCATTAGAAACAGATAATTATCAGTGGTTTTCCCAAGAAGCCTGAGACAGATGCTGTCTCTGGGGAGATAGATGACATTGGGAACTTTTCTCTTCTGTAAAGTCATTCATTCTCACCGGGGAAGTAAGTGTGTTTGTTGATGTCACAGAGTGAAACCCTGGGCATCTGTGTTAGACTTCAGTACTGAGGACGGGGCTGTGTTTCCTCAGCAGTGTCTAGAAGCCAGCCCCATGGACACACAGGCACTCATATTTTGGAAAGAGTAGAAAGATGAGAAGAGACAGGTGAACTATTCCAGGGACAGAGCTCCAGTGTAACTCTTGATTATTTATTCCTGCTCTAGACTATGTGACATCGAAGCCAATTTATAGCAAACATGTTAACTTTCAGAATTTATTTAAAAATTTAAAGGCAAGGCCAGGCGTGGTGGCACATGCCTTTATACCTTTAATTAATTTAATTTAATATCACAGCACTCAGGAGGCAGAGGCAGGTAGATCTCTGTGAGTTCCAGGCCAGCCAGGGCTACATAGTGAGAACTTATCTAAAAATAAAAGGTAAAATTAATATATTTTTTGTGTATTTGATTTTATATTTCCCCTCAATAATTAGTAATGTCCATTTACTGTGTGATTGACCGTGTGTTAGAGAGTCCAGAAAGAATAACAGCCCTTGTTCTCAAAAAATTTAGAGTGGTCAAATGAAGTAACTTTTACAAAATTGTGTAGGAAGTGTTGTGCAGGTAGGGTGTAAACAAGGGCCTGAGGTAGGCTTGGAGGAGGTGACATCTGGACCTGTGTGGGACAGCAGTGTCCTGGAAGTATGAGAGCAGAGGAAAATGTGGGGAAAGCTAAGGAAGCTTGTCTAGAACACATAACCCCAAGTGAAGAAGAAACGAAGCCATGGGTAGTAGACATAAACAGGACCAAGGGCTCTGGGAAGTGAAGCCACCCCAGCACCTGTACTTGGTGGACTCAGCCATGACGAGGGTGTCCACACAGGTAGACAATACAGGTCAAGGTGCAGTTTAGGACAGAAGATGGGCTGTGAGTGTGTTGAGTTTACCTTCAAGCGCTGTGTTTAGTGAGCACACCCTTGTCTGGGTGTCAGTAGGGCAGCCCTGAGGTTTTTCCAGATCTTCACATTTAGGTAGCAGGTGAGACCATGGGACACATGCAGTCACTAGGGAGGAAGGAAGTATGAGAAGGAAGGGACAGTGGGGAGTGTTGCATCTCTAAAGGGGTGGATGGAGGGAGAGGAGATTATAAAAGACAGTAAGCAGTAAAGGCAAGAAAGTGAGACAAAACAGAACAGTGTCCCAAGAGCTGAGGAGGGAGAGAACTGGGGTCAAGTCTGACAGCAAGATGGACAGTAAGTACCCTGGGATATTACTGATAATCCACTTCAATGGCTTTTTAAAATATCACCATCCCACTTTGTAGCCCAGATTGGATTTGAACTTGATACATACTCTAGGCTTGCCTGGAGTTTGCAATCCTCCTGTCTCCACCTTCCCAGCTTTTGGATTATATGTAGGCACCATCATGTTTGGCTCAAGGATGGTTTTAGTGAAATGGTAGAAGCAACAGCCAGGATGTGGTGGGTCAAGGAGCAATCAGGGTGTAGTGGGGAAAGAGAAAAGCTCGAGTCTAAAGGTGTAGGCCAGTTAGTTAAAAAGACATTCACCACAAATCACAGACAAACAGTACTTTTTATTTTAAAAATATGTTTCTATTGTTTGAGAATTCCAACCAATGTATTCTGGTCATATTCATCCAAATTCTTTTCCCTAGTTCTCCCCAGACCCTCCCTCAGCTCCTTATCTCCCTGATTTGTATCTGGGAGTGGTTTTTTAAACTCTGAGCCATCTCTCCAGCCCCCTGGGAGTGGTTTTAAATTGGAATTATTATGCCATTTTGGTTCATTAAACTAAGAGTCAAGAGTGAGGGTTCAGGACTAGTTCTCTGGAGGGGAGATGGGGGAATTGTGAGTGTGAGATGAGTCTGGGCTACACAGCTAGACCCTGCTTCAAAGAACCAAATGCCGGGCAGTGGTGGCACACACCTTCAATCTCAGCACTCAGGAAGTAGAGGCAGGTGGATCTCTGTGAGTCTGAGTGAGTTCCAGGACAGCCAGAGTTACACAGAGAAACCCTATCTTGAAAAACCAACCAACCAACTAACCAACCAACCAACTAACCGACCAGACAAACAAACAAAATGTGTGTGTGTGTGAGTGTGAGAGAGAGAGAGAAGTCATGAGTAAAGAGTAAAATTATAATGCTAGCAAGAAAATGAATATCTTGTATTCTTTTTTTCAGTTTTGTTTCAATTATATTCTGATCTCCTTGAAGAAAAAAATACTATAGAACAACTGAATCACACAAAATTGGATTGTATGAGAAACCACTTGTCTGAGGAAGGTAACACTTAATGTGCCTTGAATACAGTTGTCAAATGCAGCGTGTAAAGTGCCCTACATAAGTATTTCCAGGACATATTAATTTTTGGATTATTAGCCATTAGACCTAGAAACATATTATTTAGGAATTCTTATGCATAAGAGATTTGTCTTTTCTACCCATTTATTATTGTCCTAAATCACTTGTATCTGCATGTACAGGCAAATATTTATTTTGTATTATAATTTGGCACTTTGTGTTTTCTGCCCTTGTGCTTTAGGACTACTTCCCATTGGTTCTTCTGCTCTTTTGACATATCACTTTCAACAGTTTGTTAGCTGGGATTTAGAAAGGCTCTGTCCTAGACTCACGAAGGATAGGCTCCATCCCCATCTCAGCCAATTCACTGCCCTGGATCCTTTTATTGAAGAACAGTGTCCTACAAGTTTTGACATTTTGTATTTTTGTTCAGTTCAGTTTTATTTTGAGATAGAGTCCCATGAAGCTCAGGCTGGCCTCAAACTCATTATATAGCTGAAGATGACATTAAACTTTGAATCTTCCTGCCTCCATCTCTCTAGTCCTGGGATCGTAAGTGTCACTACCACATTTGGTTTTACAATGGATGGGGCTTCTTCTTCTTCTTCTTCTTCTTCTTCTTCTTCTTCTTCTTCTTCTTCTTCTTCTTCTTCTTCTTCTTCTTCTTCTTCTTCTCCTCCTCCTCCTCCTCCTCCTCCTCCTCCTCCTCCTCCTCCTCCTCCTCCTCCTCCTCGTCCTCCTCCTCCTCTTCCTCGTCCTCCTCCTCCTCTTCTTCTTCTTCTGTTTTTTTTTTTTTTTGAGACAGGGTTTCTCTGTGTAGCTTTGTAGACCAGGCTGGCCTTGAACTCACAGAGACCTGCCTGCCTCTGCCTCCCCAGTGCTGGAATTAAAGGCGTGCACCACCAACACCCCATAACACAGGGATTTTTGCACATTAGGCAAACACTCTAACTGAACCTCACCCAGCCTAGTTAAATGTGTTTTAAAAATAGACCTTGATATTTTGACACCTATATTATTTAGAAGAGTGTTAATTAGTTCTAAGATTTTATTTCCTGACATATGATTTATTTCCATCATGTTGGGAAATGCCCCTTCACATTCTCCCTGCTTTTTGGAGTGGTCCTCTCTGTTTCCGAGTGCCTCATTTCTCCTTTCCCATGTGTCAGTTTACACTTCATGTATCTTGGACCTGTGTTATCTCATATATACACATTTGGGATCATAACTTGAGACTGTGTTTATTTTTTCTGTGTGTTTCACTTTCGTTAAGTTGGTATTTTTTATTTTATTTAACAGTTAACTGTTTTGTCTGTCTCCTCCCTTCTGCTATTGACTCCATTTATTGTAAATTGAAAAGGTTATTGCATTTTTTTTTCAAGTAAAAAAAATCCTATTTTGACTGGGCATTGGTGGTGCACACCTTTAATCCCAGCATTCAAGAGGCAGAGGCAGGCAGATCTCTGTGAGTCCAAGGCCAGCCTGGTCTACAGAGCGGTTCTAGGACAGCCTCCAAAACAATACAGAGAAACCCTGTCTTGAAAAACCAAAACAAATTCCATTTTTGTTCTTATTACATCTGCTTTTTGCTGCTTTTATGTTTTCAAAGATGTTTGTATCTTCTCACTAAAACATTTAAAATTATGTCTTCTATTTTTTATTATAATATCATTACATAATTTCTCTCTCCCCCTTCCTGTATCTAAACCCTCCCATATACTCCTCTTTGCTTTTTCAAGTTCATGGAGTCTTTTAAAAAATTGCTGCTACATACGTACATGTATATGTGTACATTATATATACATCTATCTATCTATCTATCTATCTATCTATCTATCTATCTATCTATCTATCCCCAAAGGCTCTCCTTGAAGAAAAAATAAGTACATCAGTACAGCCTGCTCATTATGTAGAATGTTAGCTGTATGTGTTTTCAGGGCTGACCATTTGGTATTGGAAAACCAGTGGGTATGCTCTTTCCTGGGGAAGACTATTTCTCTCACTCTCAGCATTCTTCAGCTGCCTGTAGTTCCTTGTGTAGGGTTGAGGCCTTGTAGACTCCCTGTCTCACACCACATTCATGTTAACATGTCTATTGTTGTTGTCCTTGTTCAACTCATGTTTAGGAAGCCATGTTGGTGAGACTTTATGGGTGTAGGTTCTGATATTCCTAGGAGACACAATCTCATAGCAAACTCCCTGTTCCTCTCAGTGTTACACTCTTTCCACCCTCTCTTAATGAGAGGATCCCTAGGTGCTGGAGTTGTTTTGTAGATGTATCCTTTGGGAATGGGTTACTCAACTCTGTATTTTGATTGGTTGTGTTTTTTCTGTAATGGTCTCTGTAAGTTACAAAGGGAAGTGTACTTGATGAGAGGTGAGGATTACACTTACCTGTGGGTGTAAAGAAAAAGATTTAGAATGTACTCGATGGTTTTGCAGGTTTAGTAAAGTGATAGTTGTAGGTTCTCCTCCAAGATGCATGACTTCACTAGCCCTGGGTAGTCGGTTAGATTTTCAGTACCAGTCATGGCTCTCTCTTGTTGAGTGGGGTCTTTGGTCCAACTAGAGAGCAGTTGGTTACCACTGCTGCACCCTGAGGGTTACCCTGCTCACTGAAGCACTTTGATCATGGTTGGCTTTAAAGCTTGTACGGAATATTTTAACAATTTTGCCGTCTTGCTTCTTCAAAAAATATTCTTTGACATTTTCATACATATGTAATGTTCTTTGATCAAAGCCTGCCATTATCCTCTTTTAATCCCCTGCCCTTTCCCACCAAGACTCTTCTTTGTTCCAAGTTTCCTTCCTATTTCCTCCTCTTACTTTAACATCTTGCTTTCTGTGACTCAGTAATGAGATTCTTTCTGTCCAAATCAACATACACGGCACTATATTAATTATGAAGCTGTTGACTTTTTGCTATGATTTCTTAATGGCTATCTCTGACTTAATTATTGGCCCATAACTGCTAATCTGAGTATTTCTACATAGTCTTCTTTTACCGGAGAAAGAGTTCGGACCTCTTACTTCTCTCCATCCTACATGGTGACTGACTGTGCCTCTGTTTCCCAGAATCCTCCTTGATTCCTAATCCCACCTATCTTGCTTCCCTATTGGCCAACAGTACTTTATTCATCAACCAATAAGACAATAAGACATGCTTGCTCCTCCTCTTCCTTGGTGTCCCAGAGGCTTGGAGGGCTGTTTACCTTGTTTCTTGACATCTACCACCTCTCACTTTGTTTTGTTAAGTCTGAAATTTTTCTGGTTCTTGGTATAATTGCTTTCTTCTGAGACCTGGGTGTATTTTTGTATTATGCCATATTTTAACACTGTGTTTTGTACATGCATCTCATTCCTCCCCCTTAGACAAAGTCTGGAGCTGTTGCCCAAAGGACTGGAAGGCATTTAGTTCCCACTGCTACTTCGTTTCCACTGACTCGGCAACTTGGACCCAGAGTGAGGAGAAGTGCTCCAGCATGGGCGCTCGTCTGATGGTGGTCCACAGCAAGGAAGAGCAGGTGCATTGTGGGAGAGAGTGGGGCCTGGGGCCTGCCTGGTGTCTGCCTCTTTTTACTGCGAGGGAGTTTTGTGGGCATGGGTGTAGGTGATGTGGCAGAACGCTTTCCATCAGATAGCAGAAGGGTTGCTTCAGCCTTGGCATTCTACACCTTGCTCCTGCTTCAGTGGAGCTGAACAACCCACTAGGAACCATGGCAACAGAAATGCAAGGCCTGAGAGTGGAGGGAAGGATGAACTGTTTCTGCCTGAAAGACCAGTGTGTGATTCCAGAACTCCAGTGCCTCCTGTAGTAGCAACTGCTCAACAGAGGAGGGCGCAGAGCTGACCAGGGAAATGGGATGGAATCAGGAGAGTCACAGCCAACCATCAGCAATGAAATATCTGAAGTTATGAAGGGAGAAAATGATTAATCTGCAAAATTCTGTCATGCACAACTTTCAAGAATGGTCTTGGGGAAGAAAAGAGAGGAGTGAGTCTGAGATGAGAATTATTATGATCACGGACAGAGATTGTTTCCAGTGACATGGAAATCAGTCTGTGAGTGATGACTTTGTGTCCTGGACAGATGGAGAAGTTGGCCCTCCTGGGGCTGGGGGTGGCTCTTCTAGTCCTTTAGTCTTTCTCTGTCTTCTCATCCTGTGTCACCAGAAAAAGTATCACAGTGTACCTCTAAAATGTGTAATTATTGTTTATTAATCTAAAATTTGAAAAACATTTAAGGGCCTAGAGAGATGAACTAGGTTTGATTATTATATATTTGCATATGTGCATCACATTGAACCTATAATTTTGTGGAGTTAAAATAATTTTTAAAAGAGGTTATAAGATTTGTATAACAGAAAAAGCAGCTCTCCATCCAGGCTGAATGCTTTATCTTTCTTTCCTCTAGGATTTCATCACCAAGATCCTGGAAGTTAAAGCTGCTTATTTTATCGGGCTCTCGGATCCAGGTCATCGACAGTGGCGATGGGCTGATCAGACACCATACAATGAAAGTGCCACGTGAGTCTAGAGTACCTAGAGGAGTCCTGGGCCCTGTGGCATGAGAAGACTTTAGGGTGTTCCAGCTGTTGGTTATGAAACTAAAACAGCTCACTCCTGTTGTGGCTGCTTGGGATGGAGTTACTTTTATTCCCATATACTCATCACAGGAGTCCTGTGAGACAGGTGTTACTGATATTCTATTAGAGATGAGGAAATTGAGTTTGAAGAGTGTAGAATGATATGTATCCTGGGTGCACAATCTAGGCGCTTACACCCAGGTGGGTTTTGTTATGCTTCCAGTCACTCATCTACATTTTAAAAACTGGGATCTATGTTTATTTGTGTGTATGTATGTGTCTCTCTGTGTTTGTGCCATGTGTATGTGGGTACCCATGGAGCTGATAAGAGGTTGTTGGATTCCCTGGAGCTGGGGGTCACAGCCAATATGAGTGCTGGGAACAGAACTCTAACATTTTCTGGAAAAGCAGCAAGCACTCTTAATGTCTGTGCCATCTCTCCAGCTTTCATTTATATCTTTATGATAAAAATTAATGTCAAGATTGTAACTGATTATTTCTCATAAATCAAAAACCCCAATCTGATATTATTGTGCTTCATATTTATGTAATTATTAAAAACTCTAATATTTTAGTATTTTTCCCATATTCTACCCTGATGTTTGTTGTGAGAAATAGCTAGTGATGGTATTTTCATTTTCAGTTTTTAGAGAAGAAAAGTAGGAATCCAGGAAATTAAATTACTTGTCCTAGATGGCAGAAATAAGTAGATTAACTAGATATTTTAACTAGTTCTCCAGTCTCTAAAATAAGACTGTTGTAAAAATGTTAAAAAAACTTTATTAAAACATGAGAATAAGGAGAGACCTTTTCAGCATGTAAATAAGCACCATGGAATGGCAGTCCCCAGGTACCAAGACCTGGGGTGAAGTAGCCTCTGGGATGTGTGTGGGAAAACAGTTAAGGACAAGCTAAGAGGACACTGAATGCGGTGGGCCCTGTTTTCAGGGAAATGTCAGACACGGGTGGTGGAGAATGGCTGATTTGTACACACTTGATCTGATTTCCACAAATTCCAGCCTCATCCTCAGGCTTGCTTACTCTTGCTTTCTCTTTCCCAGCATTGCTGTAGGAAACACCCTGATGCCCTTTCCTCCCTTTCAGGTTCTGGCACCCAGGTGAGCCCAACGACGACCATGAACAATGTGTTGTGATAAATCATCGACGTTCTAGTTGGGGCTGGAATGACATCCCTTGCAGTAGTAAACTTAAGTCAGTTTGTCTGATGAAGAAAATATATCTATGAAAATGTATTCCCCATGGACACATGATTGCATTTTTATCCACCATTACACAGACATCTGCAAAGTTCTTGTGGAAGAGATGTCCACAAAATTTTAGGTAGGCATCCCACAGTTATACCTATGATAATACGGGTCCTCATACACATTTATTTATTCATCCTTACTCTCTTTATATAACGAGAACTTCCCATGTACCAGAGACTATACAGGATCCCTTTGTGCATATGTGGAAGCACACCAGCTTCTCTGTCCATTCTTAGATTCCTGAAGGCTTAATTGATGGTAGAATTGTATGGTGTGGTCCCTCTACCCATTTCTCTGTCTCCTTTTCCTCTGTTATTGAATTTATTGATGCCTAATTGACAAATAAATCATGTATACTTACATTACACTGACTTGGTATGGAACTGCACTGGGCAATGGCTACCACAATTAGGTTAACAACACCCTCTATTACCTTTCATAGTTGTCTGCTTTGTGTATGTGTGGTGTTAGAACATTTAAGATTTTTTAAAAGATTTTATTTATTTGTTTATTATGTATACAGTGTTCTGCCTGCATGTGCACCTGCAGACCAGAAGAAGGCACCAGACCTCATCATAGAAGGTTGTGAGCCACCATGTGGGTGCTGAGAATTGAACTCAGGACCTCTGGAACAGCAGCCAGTGCTCTTAACCTCTGAGCCATTTCCCTAGCCCCATTTAAGATCTTCTTAAACACATTCAGACAGAGTGACATTGTTACCTACTGTCACTTTGATCCTCAGTGCTTACTCACATTTTCTCTGGCAGTTTGTACCTTTCCATCAGCATTTTCAAGTCTCCCAATATCTGCAGTATGAGGAACTTGGACCCAAAGCCTACTATGTGGGATACTCTGGGTACTGTGAGGCTGATGAGGGTCTCTAATTAGTGGCTGATCCTAGACTGGGCGACCTTCATCAACAGAAATTTTGAGAAGATGATAGCCAACCTTCTACTGGCATTTCAAGTGATTCTTGGTGTCTCACCTTGGTGCCTACCACATTAGGGACAGCCTCAGCTCTGTAGATGGACACTGAGGAGACCCACATGTCCCATGGAAACCTGTATGCTGCTTAATACATTGGATGTCCTTTCAACTTCTTATCCTGAATATTTTGAAACAGAAGTTGCACCAGGTGTTGGTGGCTCACGCCTTTAATTCCAGCACTCGGGAGGCAGAGGCAGGTGGATCTCTGTGAGTTCGAGGCCAGCTTGGTCTACAAAGCGAGTTTCAAGACAGCCTCCAAAACAATACAGAGGAACCCTGTCTCGAAAAACCAAAAAAAAAAAAAGTAACTGAAACAGAAGTTGCTTGGATTGCATCATTGCCACTCATATAACTACCTTGTTTATTAGGTTGTTGACATTTTGAAAATTTGATATATATGTATGCATATGCACATATATGCACATATTATTTGATAGGGTACTTGAGAGTTAGTTTGATACATAATACTTCAGGCAACATTTCAGTGTATATCATTTGAAATTGTAATTGCACAACAAAATAATGCCATTATCCCTCTTGGGAAATTTAACAACTCTTTTTCACATATGATTTGTGATCTTGCCTGCATTTTCTCAACCATCCCCAAAGTGTTTCTTATGGCTGTTCTAGTAAGCCATAGCCAAAACCATTTCATTTGCTGTGGTGATATATTATTTATGACTTAATAAAGCTTGCCTGAGGGTTCAGAATGCAAAGCTAGCTACAAACCATAGAAGTCAGGCAGTAATGATACACACCTTTAATCCTAGCAGCCATACTAGTTAGCCATAGAGCTAGGCGGTGGCGGGACACACCTTTAATCCCAGGACTCAGAAGACAGGCAGATGGATCTCTGTGAATTGCACAAAGGTGATGTCAGCACTTGGGATCTCATGCCTTTAATCCCAGCACTAGGGAGGTGGAAAAGGAAGAAGCAAAGGGTCATATGTGTAGATTTAGTTTCCAGACAGGGAGACCTACTGTCTGAGGATTCGTGGAGAGAGCATTGCACTCTGAGGATTCACGGAGCCAGGATCACCCTTTGAGTCTGAGGTAGAGATAAGAGAGTGGCTGGCTGCTTTGCTTATCTGATTGTCTGTCAGATATTTTAGGCCTATCGGCTGAAGATGGATGCCCCAACATTGCAGAAGAATCTTGGATGACTGTCCAGGTAGCCAGATATTTTTGCCATTTCTCACAATTTTTTTGGGAGTTACTGATAGCACTTCTTGCTTACTCCATTAATATTATTTCCTTCTTGGGTCTCTGAGGGAATTTAAGACTGTGAAGGATATTCTGAAGGACTGTCCTACCTTGTCTTGGCAAGATTTGCAGTCACTATCTTTTGTGTCCTGCTTGTCCAGTTTGGACAGTATGCTGTCAGCAGTTGAGGAATGGGCACTTTCTTGCCCAGTGGCTTCTTTTGCCACAAAGACAGTAAATTCCATCATTTTCTCTGTAGTAGGTTGGTGCTGCCAGGAGCAGACATGTCTCATTGTCATAAAAAAAGAAAACCTGTGTTTTTAAAACATCTTAAATGCCATATTCTGTAGATCTCTGAAGTGTTTGAAGATGACCTGTCTTTCTAAAATAATATCTGTTTGGCCTTGGAAACATACCTAATGTATGTTCAATTGTAATAGGTGTCTAATACTAACCTGCATTTCCTTACTGTTCTATATAGTGGTAATAATAGCTTTCAAGGACTTGAAGTTTGCATTACATTGTTAAGTGGGCTGTATAGGTACAATATCTTGAACAAGATTTAGAAACACATTTACAGTATGTTTTAGCAAATTAATCTAAAATTTGTATCAACATACAAAATTTGTATACAATATACAAAAATCCAGTCCAATGTAAAATATTTAAAACTAGTAGTTGTTTTTTAATAGCAGATTCAACAATCTACCTTTTAATGTTATTGTATCTATATCCTCCATTTTTATTTTCAGAGTATATTCAATAATCTACCCTTTTTATCCTATTATAACTATGTCCCCTTTTTTCTTTTCAGAGCAAAAACTCTGAATCTAATCCCCTTTATTCAACTTTTTCCTGACAATAACTAACAGCAACTTGTAACAAATCCCCCAAACAATGATAAATATCTATCCATTACATATTGAATGACCCCAAATCACCCACCCTACCTCCTGGGAATGTGGGCAATGTGTTCTTAAAATTATTTCCTGCTGTCTGGAGGTGATGGCATCATAGGGGATCCTGAAAAGAAAAATTAGGGTTAATTGTCAAGTCCTGGGAGAGGTAACTGTATCATTTTTGTTGTTTCTCTGCTCAATGGAAAAGTGCAGGAACTTGTTTCAAGTCCTGGCTTGAGTATTCTGTGAGACTAGATCATCTCAGCTAGCCTCCTCAAATTTGTTCTGAGCAGTGTCTGTGAGGCTGGATCATCTCAGTTGCCCTTTTCAAAACTGTCCTGAGAAGTTTGTAGTTCAAAGCTGCTCTTCAGTTGGAGTTGTTCAGCATTATGTTGTTGCCATAGTCTTGGTGACATTGTTGTTGTGGGGCCCCATCCTCCTTTTGCAGACTTCAAAGTTCACTGTTAGGCCTGGTCATGGTTCACTGAGGAAAACTGATAGAAACTCAATCCCGAAATCATGTACAGGAAGGTAGATGAAACCTTTTTCTAGAGTTAGTTAGTACTCTATATGACCATTAATAGCATGACAAAACTCTAAAATACATATATTGATCTTTTTTTCCATATTTTTTATTTAACTTTTTATGCATGTCACTTTCAGTTCCCTTTCCCTTCCCTCCTCCCCCAACTCCCAATCCTCCCAACCTCTCACCCCCACTCCATCCCCCCTCCGCTCCTCAGGGAGGGCAAGGGCTTCCATGAGGGATTTTCAGAGTCTGTCACATCATCCCGGGAAGGGCCTAGGTTCTTCCCCATGTGTCCAGGCTGAGAGAGCATCCCTCCATATGGTATGGGTTCCCAGAGTCCCTCTGTATGCCACGAATAAATACTGCTCTACTCTCCAAGGTCCCACAGATTGCCAAGTCCTCCTCTCTGCTACCAAGTTTCAGTGGGAGGGATGTCTGGATCAGTCCCATGCTGGCCCCTCAGTCATCAGTCTGGGGTCCATGTGTTCCTCCTTGTGTAGGTCAGCTGCCTCTGTGTGTTTTGCCAGCCTGATCTTGATTCCTTTGGTCATCACTCCTCTTTGCAACTGGGTTCCAGGAGTTCAATTCGGTTCTCAGCTGTGGGTGTCTGCCTCCGCCTCCATCAGCCACTGGATGAGAGTTCTAGAATGGCATATAAGGTAGTCATCATTCTCATTATCATTGGAGGGCATTTAAGTTAGCCTTAATGCCAGTTGTTGTCATTCTTGTAGATCTGTGAAGATCTCACTAGTGTCAGATCTCTCCTCCAACTTATACTGGCTCCCTCTTTTCTGGTATCTTCCATCCTTTTCTCCTCTATTCTTACCCTGGCTCAACCTTCCTGCTCTCCCATGTCCTCCTCTCCCCTCCTCTTTTCTCCCTCTCTTTCTCCCATCTCCTTCTTCCCTCCCCTTCTCCCCCCCCAATCCAATTAGGAGATCGCATCCCCCCTAACCCTTCTTCAGGTTAACATGAATATCTCTCTTAGGGTTCTCCCTGCACCCCAGACTTTCTGGCGGTGGGACTGTGGGCTGGCAATGCCCTGCTCCATGTCTAAAATCCAACATATATTGATCTTATAAATTTTTATATAAATATAATATACTTTAAGAAAAGCTGTTAAAAGTCAATATAAAACCAAAGTATTAGTGGCAATACAATATTCCTGTAACTTTTGTGTTTTCTTATGTTCTATATCACATGACTCTTCTGACATGAGATTTTTCGATTTTACTTTAACATGCATGCTTGGGTTTAGAGGAGAAAGCAACACTCCAACTCTAAAACCAGCTTTAATCTTTAATTGGAATGGGACTACAAAAAGACCATTTCCATCATATGTCTGAACAGAAAAGTAGAAACAAACATTTGGGAAAATTTATGAAACTTTATTCTGTTGGAAGTATGAGATACCAATAGGCCAATTTACTCCTTGGAACATTTTTCTGGATTATTTTTCCCTTTCCTTCAGATGTCTCAGTTGTTCATTGGTCTCTGGATTCCTTAGCTGGATACCTTTATTCCCCTGAAAAGACAAAAATAAAACCCTTCCCCAACCCTAATTTTGGTGAGGTTCTTTTTTGGCAACTTATATCTGATCAAATGAGAAGCATTTGTTAGTTTTGTAGGTTAGTTTAGATTAAACAGCCATGTTGCTTGATGAACTATCATCTCTTTTAATTAAGAGGTGTCTTGTTCAAATTGAATCTTTATACATTTTGATGGTATCCATAGCTTTTCTTCACCT